AAATAGGGGTCAACTCGGGCATGGCAGCCTCTATGAGACGCTCACCAGACCGTCTATAAACATTTCTGGTTGGGGACTCGGATCTGAATCTGGCTATGATCGTCGTCCTGACTGCGACGTTAAATAATTCCTGAAGAGATGGGGGCGCTCTTTAAATTCCTCCTGATCAGCCAGATCAACCGGGTGTAAGGCTCGTCGGCGTACGAGGATAAATAAGAGTGTTGTGGCTGCCTTGCTCGACGATGACTTGAGGCACAGGGGTGGGACCGGATTGCACACCTTTAGACACGCTGCTCAACCAGATGCTCAGGGACGTTGACACAAAGTGACTACTCAAGAAGGATACAGGGGGAGGGGAAATTCCGGTAACTGTTCGCAGTGGCAATCAACATACAATCTGCCATTCAGTGTACATCTCCAACAGGGGATGTTATTTTTATTTTGATTATCTAGTTGTGACAGACTTCGCTAACAACTGACAGACGGCTACAGATAGATTAGATCTTTGCTGTAGAGCAATCTGTTCCAGGGTAATTCAAAAATAGAATTAATATATCCTGTAGGACCTGACATTAGTTGCAACTACATCACCTAACTATTTTTGTTCCAGCCGACCGTAAGTAGTTGTTTATCATATGCGGATGTGTGTTAAGCTAAGGTAGGATTCAGTGTGGATTCTAGTTTAGATCACACACACTGTAGCTCATGAGTGATGCAAGCACAAGTGAGGAGGAGTTACTAGTGGACGACCGTAGGACTACTCGCGGGACTGCCCGTAGTCGACCCTTGACATTCTTGGAGTTAGGTCCAGGAGACGAGAGAAGATTGAGGAGAGAGGCTAGAGAGAGGGCAGCGGCAAGGAGAGTGAGGGCAGCTGAGGACAGTGTTAGGGCTAGAGTTTCAGCTAGTATCAGTGCAGCCATGGCTACCTCATCTATGACGCAACCCTCTACACAGCCCACTTCTTCAGGAGTCGGTCAGAGTGGTTCTCAGATTCCCATTAGTCAGATTGGTCATGTGCGAGTCAGCCAGTCTCCACTCACGCTGGAGGACTTAGAAATCCGGCAGGCAGAAGAACTTCAGGATGAGTTACAGCGGCAGATGGACGATGTAGTAGAGAGGAGAAGGAAAGCTATGCAAAGAAAGGCTAGACTAGAGAGTAGAGCTCAGGAGCTAGGTAGACTAGAAAGACTAGATGAGTCAAAATTAGACTCTGTTGTCCGTGTGCTGCGAGGCGCCTTACTTTCAGTGGCGGAAGCGCAAAGCGTTCAGCAGGAATTGTTGGCTGATTTGGTAGCAGGCCAGAAACAAATTCTGGCCGAACTTCGGGGCCCTCGCACTATGGTGAGGCCGCCACAGTTTGCGGTAGTTCCCCCTGCAGCTGCGGGTCCATCATCGATGCCGCAACGCATAGGGCAAACTTTCTCTCCCATGTGTGGCATGCCCTCCCCGGGTGGTTTAGTAGCAACTAGTGGTCCGGTTCATTCAGTCTCAGCCGTACCATCTACAACAGTGGTCACTACAGTCCCACTGTCCAGCCAGGCTCAGGTTAGTATGCAACAGCCTGTTTCAGTGGCTATGCAGCCGCTGCTTCAAGCACCTGGGCCCATTCAGCCTATGCAGTGGATGCCCAAGATAGCTTTGATGAGTCCCAAGCCCTTCTCTGGCGATAAGAAGAAGGAGGAAGACTTGGATACTTGGGTGAGAACTGTGCCTACTTATGTGAGGCATAAGCTCACAAGGCCAAAGCAAGAAGTTGTAGTGGCTGCCTCCTTTTTAGAAGGATGAGCAGCCCGCTGGTTAAATGGCTTAGTCCAGCAACAGGGCTACGGTCAAAACTTCGATGCCTGAGCACAATCCCAGACATTGGAAGAGTTCATACGGTCCGTGTACAACAGGTGGCATGACCCACAAGGGGCTCAGAAGGCCACTGACGCTATCAACAGTCTTTGTTCCCGAAGGTTCAAGAATGTTAGAGAGCTAACGGACGTCGTAGAACGATTAATCGTGGGACCTAGTGTGCGTTTTGACCAGCAGGTTCTCCTAACAGATTACCTAAGGTGCCTACCTTCAGAGGTAAGGACCAAGCTGGTTGATGAAGCCTATGTTGAACAGCACACCTTCGCTTTTTTCAGTAAGAAAGTCCTGGACATCGAGGCAAAGCTAGGATCTGCGCATCAGGCACCCAACGATGGTAGGAAGAGACTGCCCCAAGATTGGAAAAAAAAGGGTCACTTAATGTTCGTTGACCACGATGGTCAAACGACGGAGATTGACGACTACTCAGATCTTGGGGAGTTCACAGAGCAAGATGGGGGTGGTGAGACTGCAGATGGTGGAGTCGTGGCACCCATCAAGGAAAAGGCTAGGGGGACCGGGAAGAAGAAGGTAGTACGGTCCATGGGTCAGGGCGGCCAAGGAACACCCGCATGGGTGAAGATTGGTTTAGAGTATGAGGTGTGGCGTGATCGAGTTGCCAGGGGTACATGTATGGACTGTGGCAACTATGGCCAGACGTCCAGGACTTGCCGCGGCAAGAAGATCACCACGAAGGTAGCCTCACCAACGGTGGTGGGTTTATCTTCGAACCCTGGGAGTGCTTCTGCGAGCAGCTCACAGGGAAACTCCTCGGGCCAGTAGGAGTGTTAGCCGCTCTTACTTGCGCTGAAGTGGTAACATTGCCTTCCTTACTTCAGGCGTTGGCCAAGGCTAGTGACCCACGTATCGCCCCGCAGACACATTCAGACGCACCGACGCTCTGTTCGAGAGATGTGTCTGACGCCCTAGAAGAGTTAGAGACTGAGTGGTCAAGGAAGGACCCCAGGGACTCTTGGGCGATGATCAGTAAAGGTCCAAAGGGTGAGCATTTCGTGGTAGAAGTAGATGTAGGTGGCCGCAAGGTTGGCGCCTTCGCAGACATAGGCTCTACACGAAATTTCATCAGTCTTGCTTGTGTGGATAGACTGCGCTTAGGGGACCAAGTGCAGCGGCTTAGCAAGACTGAAGCTTCTACTCTAGCCAACAAGCACCAAATGGTAGTAAAAGACTATGTCAAGGACGTAGCCTGTTCCTTCTCCTATGGAGGAGGGGAAGTGATCCACAAGATCTCCTTCCTGGTTAGTGACGAACTGCCATTCGACATGCTACTGGGCATGTACTACCTCGAAGACTCGCAGCCACAGTTTGATTGGGATAGAAAGGTGTCGATACACAAGTTGCCAAATGGTAGGACCGTTAGGCTGCAGAAGTACAAAGCTAGCAGTCTAGTGGAGAACTACGGCTGCATGTGCGCTTCGTCTTTCTATAACTACTACAAGCAGAATCGCGAGGAGGGCATGTATCTAGTCTTTGTCTCTGAAAAAGGGGAGGCCGTTAAATCACCCCCAGAGATAGAACAAGTCGTCGCTCAATATTCAGACCTT